AAAAAATAAAAATAATTTTATTAACGGTCAAATTCTATCTAGCCAGCCACACAGAAAGGACAGAGCCGAGCCCGGGGTCGACCCTGGGTGTGCAACAAGGAGTCAGCCTCAGCAGAGGTTTTCCCCTAAGCCCACACACCTCCATCCTGGCACAGGCGGTTTTTATAGGGAAAATTCTGCCTGAGGCCAAGGTTTTAGCAATCAGTCCTTTCTTCTATTCGGAGTCCATATGTTAATAAGGATTTCTTTTTGGTGATGAGGAGAAAAATTCAATGTTGGGTGTTTATGGGAAGGCTTCATTCACATGGATCTGTCTGAGTATTTCCATGATATCCATCTTGGACGATCAGCACAGACGATCAGCAGACAATGGCCCATCTCCCGGCCGAGCCACATCTGTTTACTTGTAAATCAGTTTCCAGTATACACTCAAGTCTCACCTACAAAAAGGGGGGGGAGGAACTAATACAACGGGCATGATTTAACAAGCATCCAATATTACATATTTCATACAAGGAATGGCGCAAATTATATTTACTATACATAACAAAATGAAACCAGATTGCTGAATCTAGTTGTAACAATCTCAGCCTTGTGGCTAATACCAGAAAACGGCTAGTCAGGTCTTGTTTCTGTTTAAAGCACCTTGCCCACAATCTGCTTGGTCTTATCCCTCCCCAGCAATGAGCAATCCGAACTTTATGACAGTATTCACTAGTGAAATGTATAAAGGGATAACAGTTACACTCTGGCACAGAACATTTGATTGAGATAGTCGTTTACTTGGCGGCACAGGGTTATTTTCAAACCTTCGGGGCGGGGCGGGTGGGGGGGTGAGGGGGGGGTGGGGGGGTGGAGGGGGAAGGTGATTTCCCACTCCGGTGCCCGGTCCTGGAGATTGACTTTCTTCACCCTTGACAAGTGTGTCTGCCCCTTTTCTGCAGTTTGTATAGCAGTATCTGTAGTTAAAAGGACAATATAGGGTTCCTCCTAATGAGGTGTGAATGCTGACTCCTTCTATACTTTTACCAGTATTCTGTGCCCAGGCTGTATTTTACTTATTGCTGTATCTTATATATCAAGAAGCCTGGGGGGTGGGGGCTGTGCTGCATGATCACCCCCTTGAGATTCTTCTTTAATGCTCTCAGGTATGGTTGTATCTGTCCTTTCTCTACTCCTGCATGCCCTACAGGCATACCAGGGGTATAAGGCATCCTATTTCAAAAGGTGAAAATCCCATTTCAGAATGAGGCATAGTTCTTATGTTTAATAAGGCCAACGGGATGCATTTTATTTATGACATTTGTTTCTAACATCAATTTGGCTAATTGGGCTTCTAACGTTTGATTAATTCTTTTGACTTGCCCGGAACTCTGAGGGTGCCATGGGGTGTGATAGCCCCACCAAATACCTAAGGTATCTGCTAGTTGTCTGACAAGTTTTGAAGTAAAATGTGTTCCTTAGTCCGAATTAATGCAGCTTGCTAACCCATATCGAGGTATGATTTCTTCCAATAAGAATCTCGATACTGTTTGGGCTGTAGCCCTGGAGCTTGGGAAAGCCTCCACCCAGTGGGTTAGTTTACCCGCTATGACTAATAAAGATTTGTTTCTCTTGACCTTAGGTAGATCAGTGAAATCTCCTTGGATTCTTTTAAAAGGTTGGTAAACTACTGGGCAACTCCCCATTGTTAGTTTTTGTGAGTTTGCCCTATTTATTTTCTTGCAAATTATGCACCCTTGCACCTCTTGTTTAGCCAATTGTATATACTTCTGCAGCTAAAGAATCTCAGGAATTGCTTTGTTAGGGCTTGGGCCACCCAGTGTGTCTGTTAATGTAATCTCCTTAGAATTTTCTTAGTATATTCCTTTCACAATAATTCCCTCCCGTCTGGTAACTTCCACTTACCTTCTTCCAGATGCCCCCCCAATCCTCTGACAATCTTTTTTCTCCTTTTTGGAGAGTAGAAAGTTGAATTATTTGGTTTCCTCTTTTTAACTTCTGGGATACTTACCTTTAATAAGGCTGCGCTTTTCGCCTCTTTGACGGCTAAATCCTGAACTGCATCCCAGTTTGGTTTCCTTTTACGTGAACCACAGTAATAGTTTCTGGCACTCTGATGGCTTTTAGGATTTGTTTAATTATTTCTTTATGAATCAGTCCCTTTCCCTGTATATTTAGCAGACCCCTTTTTTCCCAGATTTTTCCAAAGGTTAGTGAAAATTGTCTCCTTTTTATCAAGAAGTTTAACAGGGCTGTAATTCCTGCCCTTATATCTTCCTCTTTAGGACTAGCCACCAATAGATCGTCTATATATTGCAACCATTTTGTCCCAGGAAATGGCACAAACTCAGTTAATAATTTTTCAAGGGATTGGCTAAAAAGATAAGTTGAGTCTGTTATAAATTGTGACACAGCAATTTGAAGTGTCTTAATTCAATAAAGCAATTTTATTTAAAATTAGCAAGCAAGTAAGGCAGGCAAAAATTCAGCGCTGGGCGGCCGGGGAGTCTCCTGCTCCACCAATGGCGCGCAAAAATGTTCTGTCCTAACCTTCCTTTTATCCCCCCTTTTCTCTTTGCAGACGTGACTCTCCAAATGTAGTCTGAGTCTGGTCGTTGTGATAGCTTCTAAGTCTCTTCTTTTGAGATACAGCAAGCAGACCAGATACACACACGCCCAGGACTTTAATCTCAACCTCCTTATCACCTTGTAAGCAAATAAGCATTTCAAAGACACACCAGTACATTCTTAGCCACTATCTTATGCAAAACAAATTAGGTTAACATATTACAGTACATTCTTATGCAAACTAAGACAAGCAAGCATATTACAGTGAACAAATTATCTTCTACTTATTTCAGAGTCTACAAACCCTTGAGGGAGAGGGGTCTATCTTAATTGCCGTTTTCTTTGTGTCTCCAGGTCTTCCCACTGGAAGGCAAAGTAGTCNGCCCAGGACTTTAATCTCAACCTCCTTATCACCTTGTAAGCAAATAAGCATTTCAAAGACACACCAGTACATTCTTAGCCACTATCTTATGCAAAACAAATTAGGTTAACATATTACAGTACATTCTTATGCAAACTAAGACAAGCAAGCATATTACAGTGAACAAATTATCTTCTACTTATTTCAGAGTCTACAAACCCTTGAGGGAGAGGGGTCTATCTTAATTGCCGTTTTCTTTGTGTCTCCAGGTCTTCCCACTGGAAGGCAAAGTAGTCCCGATTTTCCTCAGCTAGAGGAAAAGTCCAAAAAGGCATTCTAGAGATATGTTATTCAACAGACTATAAGGATTAGAGACCGTGGGTAATTGCTATCAGGTTTTGTATTGCCAATATAGGTGTGTAATGTCTGGACATGCAGGGTTCCAATGTACCCTTCTTTAATAAATCTTCAATTATTGGCTTTAGCCCCCTCCTCCCTTCTAAAGGGATGGGGTATTGTTTGATCCTTATGGGATCTTCCGGTCTCTCAATTTCTATATGTATAGCTTTCATGTTCAATCTGCCAGCTTCGCCAGACCCTGGGATCAATCTTCTCCTCCTCAGTGGTTAAAGTATGCAGATTTACCTGTGAATCCCTTGCAATTACACTTATTCCTAGCGCTACCACCAAATATATTTCTAATAAGTTATAATCAGCTTCTTCTACCAATAAAATATCACCCAAACAAATGTTATTATCAGATTCAATTTCTACATCCTTTAGGACAGACACCAGAAAGGTTTGCACTTTTGCCCCAATCACAGTCATAAAAATCCTTGCCTTTGATACATCCAGGAGGCAGTCCTTGGGCTGTGTTTCTTGAATCAACTAAAAGATTTACAGTAAAAGCATTCAGGAGCACTTACCTGTTTTGTCTTTTGTCCTGGCTTCTTCCCTGGGGGCTTTTGAAGTAGCGCCGGTTTCCCGTTGTTTGGGCTTGCTCCTGTGTGTTTGCTTTTCTAATTGCTGCTACTAACACCCTGGCTTGTGGGGTTTTTTTGGGGTTTTTTGGGGGGTTTTTTTGGGTTTTTTTGTGTGTTTTTTTTTTT